CTGGTCACCCCTTTAGAGTTAGGATGAAAACGTTTTAGCCACATGCTAAACAAGCTCATTTTCAAAAAGTTAAAGATGACATGTTTCAAATAAAATCGAATGCAATTCAATTTTATTTATACAGCACCAAATCATAACAACAGTCACCTCAAGGCGCTTTATATTGTAAGGTAGACCCTACAAAAATACATTCAGAGAAAAACCCCTATGAGCAAGCACTTATGTGACAGTGGGAAGGAAAAACTCCCTTTTAACAGGAAGAAACCTCCGGCAGAACCAGGCTCAGGGAGGGGCGGGGCCATCTGCGCAAACTGTTGGGGAGAGAGAAGGAAGACAGGATAAAAGACATGCTGTGGAAGAGAGCTGTGGATTAATAACAAATATGATTACAAGCAGAGAAGTCTATTAACACATAGTGAGTGAGAAAGGTGACTGAAGAAAAAACACTTAATGCATCATGGGAGTCCCCCAGCAGCCTACGCCTATTGCAGCATAACTAAGGGAGGATTCAGGGTCACCTGATTCAGCCCTAACGATATGCTTTAGCAAAAAGAAAAGTTTTTAACCTAATCTTAAAAGTAGAGATAGTGTCTGTCTCCCGAATCCAAACTGGAAGCTGGTTCCATAGAAGAGGGGCCTGAAAACTGAAGGCTCTGCCTCCCATTCATTCATACATTATGACCTCACGCATCTATTGTTGGAAGCTTTTCCACATGGTTATAGGTCCATATTTCATAAAACAGGAACAGGGGGATGGTGAATATAATATCACACAGGCCCGTATTATACAGGATGCAAATCTATGAAATTGACATCACTTGCCCTAAAACAAACTCCTCCATATATATGTAAATGCATACATTTTCTTAACCATATCTCCATTTTAGTAACCCCTGAAGACTTGAGCCAGTCAAAGCCGTCATTGAGCGAGAGGTTCGTTATACCCTAAGCAGGCTTAGCCAGTGTATTGCGGGGCTAACACAGAGTACAGGGCTCACATTCACGCCTACAGCCAGTTTACAATCATTAGTTACCCTAGCATGCACTGTGGGAGGATGCCAGTGTACCTGGAGACAACCCGTAGACGCAAGGAGAATATACAAAGTTCATAGTAGCCATTAGATAGTAGTAATTAAGGAATACAAATTTTTGATTGTTGATATTTTTTTGCAGGTAGGAAGATGGTGTCGAAGATATCACTACAGTCTCACAGCTGTCTGCATGGACTGGTGACCAGAGTCCTCAAGACTTGGATAAGAAGATCAACACCACTCTTACATCTCAGCAGTGGCGCTAGAGATAGGAGGCTGTTAGGTTAGCTTAACAGAAATCACTGAACAGCATTTGTGTCTCCTGCCAATTTCTGGATTATGGTGGGTTTAATTTTCAGATTTTCAACAAGAACTATCAGTTCTTACAAAACAAACAAACAAACCAACAAAAAAAGATATCCTTTTAAAATACAGTTTACACTTTACTGTAATTATTCTCTTGAGGAAAAGTGCTGCTGTGGATGTGAAGAGAAGCAATCCTAGTTCCCCAGATTTGTGTGGTATGTCACCCTGAAGTCTGCTTTCTCACTGGCTTTACAGCTAATTCCCCCATTCTTCTCTGCTGTGCTTAGTGCAAAAGTAGAAACACATACACCACCCCCTGCTTCACACAGACACGCATGCCAGTGCATGTTTTTACACTCACACACTCACACACACACGCACCCACCACTCTCACACACACACACTTTTCTTTACTAATCAGCCCTATTGAATTCCAGCAACAATAGGCGCTCATCCTCGGGCCACCCAAGCAGTGCATGCACACAGACACACACATGCACACCAACAGCACCAGATCATGAGTTCTGTCTTTTGTTCCTTTATCATGTTTTTTCTTCCTTCATTGATCTCACCTCACACAGGTCAGGAGTTGGCACTGGAAGATCCTGTTATCTGGACTATCAGCTTCTGGGCCCACACACTGCACTCGCTTACAGAAAGGAGGGAAGGAGCTCCTTTTTACTTACTGTTAACATCCACTGTCCTGGCAATGCTGACGAGAAGCAGACACATCGAGCAGTTTTACGTCCAATGCTGTCCCTTCTGTGACGCTTCATAGACAGACCGTGATGTGCCTTCTGCCGTCATTACGGCTGTTACATTCCTCCCTAATTGCAAAAGCTGTTACCGACTTTAAAAAAAACTCCGATAATCTACCTTGTAAAAAGGGTTCATGAAGGCAAAAAAGTTCGGACTCGAAATGATTAAGAAACTGCTGCTCTCACCCTGCGGCTTACATTTGCAATTACACAATATTGTTATTTAATTTCTTGGCTGGGGAGAGGAGGCAGAAAAAGTTTAAAAGTAGTTCTTGTACTGCTCAGGAATAGTCCAACACACCTTAATTTTTTATCTTATTAACTCCTATCTTATGTGGTTCCCAGAATGTCTCAGCACTCTTAAAAACACACACGTTCTCCTGTTTCATAGGCTGTGGGGACATAAATCTGTGGGGACCCACCTTCTTTTCAGAGGAGCGGGTCCTCACAACATAAATCAATATATTGTGCTGGGTTTGAGATTAGGGTGAGCTTAAACTAATATTAACCTCAGGATAAGGTAAGGGTAGGTTTCCAGGAAATTAATAATACTGAGTATAAAGATAAGGTTTCACACACACATACACTGTCATTTCTTCTACTCTTTAGGTACATGCAAAATAGTCTCTCATAAGTGTGAACATTAGTCTGAACAGTTGTTTACATAATTTCCCTCCAAACCATGCTGGGTAAGGCTCCAGCCCTGCTGTGACCCATAACTGGACATGTTTTCTCGTCACTGAACTGTGACATTGCGCACAAATGTGATGACATCACTCGCTGAGCAAATGTTCTCATTAATGAAGAGCTTAAAACAAAATCAGCAGGGCCCACGTTGTTCCTAGCTCGAGGCCGTACGTGAGATAGTAGAAACTAAGAGATATTTAGGTTTAGCTTACCCCGAATATAGACACATAAACACTGCGTGGTGTTGTTGCTGTCTGCCTGTGTGCAAGAGTATGAGGCTTGTGTTAGATGTGCATGTGCATGACAGCGGCTTCAAAAGACTGAGGTATCAGATTCAGACATGGGCTGCTTTGCCTGGGCTGACAAACGAGGAGCTGTTGTGTGGGAAGCAAAGGAATTTACAGCATCCACCTTTTATCTACACAGGTGGGCCTGTGTGTGTATATGTGTGTGCATCTGCGCACGAGGAGGCAGGGATGTGGGTGTGTGTGTGTGTGTTTTTGAGAGAGAGAGCATGTAGCTTGTTTTATGTTTGTGTTTCAGAATCTGCAGTGCACATAAACACAAGAGTCTTGATGTTTGTGTGTGGGGATGTGCGTCCGAGATTTAGACAGATGAGTCACAACAATAATTCAGGCAACCGGTGATCCCAGGCACCTTACAGGTGGTTCAAAGCTCCAGTTCACTGGCTCCTACTGTTAAGTCATTGTTCACAAAGTGGGGACGTTTTACTCAGCAGGAATACAAACGCTGCTAAATGCTTGTCCGTGTGCGACAACTCTTTCTGACGGATTATTTCCTAACCCTAAACCTGTGCGGCTTTCAGGGGGTGTCAGATGACTGTCAGGAAGCTGAGGGCACTGTTATGCTTGCACAACACCTCAGGCACAGTGAGATAACAATAAATCTAAACCGATAAGACATCCAGTTCATTCTGCATGGAGTTTTCTGTCCTTTTCATGTCCTTAGATAATCATCATAAATTTGTTTATCATCCCTCTGATCTGTGAAACTCACATTTCTTTGAACACAAACAAAACAGTGAGCGAATAGCTGTGTTTACATCGTGTTATCCTTTAACTACTGCGTGCCAGACAAATGTAGCAAGTATCTTGAAGACTTGGGATGAGAAAAAATAAGAATGTGGTCATCAAAATTTCATGCAGAGTTGGGTTAACTGGGGATTCCTAATTGTGATAGGTGTGGATGTGAATGGTCGCCTCTCTCTGTGTTAGTCCTGCAACTGATCTTGTCAAGGATGTAGCCTGCCTCTCTCCCTTTGACAGCTGAGGTATGCCCCCATCTCACACAGTTATCCAACACGCTTTGTAAATACTTTTTACTGTATGTAACATTTACATTTTGATCTGAGGTTGGCAAAAAAATAAAGGGAAAGACAAATGTCCAAAGCAAAATTAATGTAGTTTTCAGAACCAAATGAAGTTAATCTGTGTTATCTTGTGCTTAAAATGGATGGATGAAGAATGCTTAGAAAGTTCATGTCTATCCTTCCCTGGTAATATAATAAAGATAATATTAAAATCTTAGTCTTTATCTTAAGCATCTCTTTGATTTTACTGCTTTAGTAACTCGGTGCTTGTATGTTAAGGCCAGAAGGGTCAGCATGCTTCTACCCGACACCTCAACATTGTGTCTTGATGAGAGAGCAGGCCACAGTGTGTGAGATGTGTGCTCCCATTTTATTTATTTGCAAGGCAACAGGTGGACGTACACACACGCAAAGACTGGCAAAGACCGAAGAAGCACTTTTTTTCATTCCATTTATTTTGTTAGTTAAATTTCTATAGCAGGTGAGGGAACATAATGGTCACACAAGGGTTTTTTCTTGAGCATAGTTTTCAGAAGTCACAGTGTTTTAGACGTGGACAAGAACATTTTTAAAACGGACAATGAAGAAGGAAGGTCCAAGAGGAGACTCAAAAACAAGGTGTAACAGTGACTCCTACACACCTTCTCCTTCATGGTCCTCCAACCGCCCCCTCTGCTTCACACATACACGCACGCATGCACACCTCCTGCTCTCACACAGACACACACACAAAGGCCTC